ACTCTTAAAAACTTAGGATATTGGGCCAGGGCTGGCAAAGCTAGCTGTATCTCTTTCTGTCCAGTCTCTGTGTTTTCTGCCCAGTCTGTGTGTTTTCTGTTCAGTCTGTTTTCTGTCTAGTCTGCGTGTTTTCTGTCTAGTCTGCATGGGATTGATCATTTGGGCTAGCCCCTTTGGATTTGACCTGTGTGTAGACTCTTGAGGAAACCGTAACTGAGGCAGTCTGTGAGGCTGAACCCAGGGCTACTAGCTTTATCTTCACTGTTATCTGGACTTTAGCTCTGAAAAAGAAACAAACTTTTAAATGTAATATTATGAGTACATTCCTGCATCATGGGGACCAGGGAGCCAATAAAATTCACTGACCATGTGAAGACACTCAAGTCTCAGCTAGTAGGAGATCTTCCTTGGTCAAATATAATCTTTGTAAGTTTTATTGGTAACCGTTTTTTTTTTTTTTTTTTTTTTAATTTCCTGTAGATACATAAGCGTTACCACATCCCCATCTCAAAACTATTGCAGGTTTCCACTTTTCTGTCATCAGGTCCTAATAGTAACTGGCTTGATTCAATTCTACGGGTTTTTTTTTTTTTTTTATAACCAAGTGTCTCTCCGCTGCTGCTGTTCCTTTCTCACCAACATTAAGAAAATTTAGAGTTAACAAAGCATTATTTAGCCTGTCCCTGGGGTCTTCACTCTCCCTTTTTGTTGAATAAGCATCTTTTTAAAAATATAATTAGCTCTTATACAACAGCTTGTTCTGAGGGGCTGTGTGATTATACCAGTAATGTGCTTTATTTTATAACATGCAAAGAACCGCTTCATCTTACTGAACACATATGCAGGAGCATTATCGGCCTCAATTTGTGCAGGTACCCCCATAATTGCCATTATTTCCAGTAAATGTGTAATTACACAATCAGCCTTTTCAGAACTTAAAGCAGTTGACCACTGAAACCCTGACTAGGTATCTATGGTATGGTGTCTATACATTTGTTTTCCAAATTCTGCAAAATGAAACACTTCCAGCAGGTAATGGAGTTTGGTTATACAAAGAACACACAGGATATTTAGTTTATTATTTCTTTGGCTTGTTGCCAAGTGATAGAAATTTTTTTCTTTAAACCTTTATTGTTAACATGGTATTTGTCATGAAATTTTGAGGCTTCTAACACATTTTCTATTAGTAATTGGTCATTTTCTTCATTTCCTTGTGCCAATAGACCTGTAAAACCTGCATGATACTGAATATGAGTAATATATAATGGATAGTCTCTACTTCTGATGGCCTGATGCAATTGCATAAATAACAAAGTTAATTCTGAGTTATCAGGAATAAATTTATCCATTCCTATATGCAAAACAACTCTTTCTGTATATTGAGACTTAGTAATTATATTAAGAGGTTCAGGAAAATATAATAATACTATAAGGACTGCACACAATTCTGATTTTTGAACTGAAGAATAGGGCTTATTTTGTCTGAATTATAACCTGCCTTTCCCATCTTGTTTGCATTGGTATAGAATGTTGGTGCCTCTGGAATTGATGTTCTCTTTACAATATGTGGAAGAATCTAATTAGTTCTTTTTACAAACTATATGTTCGCTTTTAGAATATTTGTTATTAATTTCTCCCAAGCAGTTACTATAAGTTCTTCACCAGTCTTCATTGATCACCCACAATGATATAATCTCACTATTAGTAAGAGGTATTACAATTTTACTGGGTCTGATTCTGACAATTAACAAAATCTTATTCTATCATTTATAATTAATTCAGAAATATTTTCTATGTTCGTCTTCAATTTTTTTACTTTGTTTATGTGCTAAGAAAAATCCATTCCATAATGCTGTCTTCCCTTGCATAATGAACCCCATAGGAGAATGAGTCAAAAGCAAAATGATCAAAATACAATCTGGTTTAGGATCAATTCTATCCACACATGCATCTTGCAGTCCTTGTTCTACCGGAATCAAGTAGATTCAGCTGTGAGACATCATGGGCTGTTTAAATCTGCATCTCCTTATAATGTCTGAAACAAATTACTTAACTCATAAATACTTAAACCAATTGTAGTACTCAGCCAGTTAATATCTCCCATTAATTTTTGAAAATTGTTAAGAGTTTGCAATTGGTCCCTATGGATATTTACCTTTTGTGGTCGAATTTTTTGTTGACTTATTTTTATAACCCATTTCATTAATAGAATCTCTTCTCTGTATTTTTTTTCTGGAACAACCAGCATGGCAGAATTCCTTGTGCTTCCTTGAACATTTTCTCAGATTCAGCCAACAAAATCACTGTTTGCCAGAACACGAGTTTTCCAGTACTCCCAAATGCCCCTGATCTTTCTACTGGAGCGGCCTTGCCCTTGATGTAAGGAAACAGTAACATCTGAGCAATCCTATCCCCTGCATTAATTTGTATCTCCTTTTAATTTCTTCCTTGCAGTCCTCATCTGCAATACCTGGATGCGCAATAAATCCTTGAGAAGTTAGTCCACTTCTTCCCAAGCTCATACTGTCCCTTCAGGCAAAGGACTGTCAACAGCAGTGGTTATTTTGTAACACTGTAGCCTTGGTTACACAGCATCAGCAGCTTTCCCAGTCTTTGTACACAGATGCCTGCCAATGACGGTGGTGAGGCTTATGATGAGAGGACACGGCATCCAGTAGAAATGCTAGGTCTAAAGCACTTGAAAGAGGCTGTTGTGCAGTCTGGAGTGCATTTGTCTTTCGTTAAACAGATGCTAAGTAACTGAGCCAACCCAAAATTGACTTATTCCCCGAGACTGGAAAGGGTTGGTGTCAGCTGGTCAAGTTAACAATGGTTATTTCCCGTGGTGGAGGCATGAAGCCATGAAAATAGAACAATATATAACAAAGGGCAACTGTTTGGTGAAGGGCGTTATGCTGACTTATGAGAACAAATTTCATCTGACGATGTAGTAATTGAACAATGTCGTGTTGCGGCCTTAAGAGCTTGGGACATGGTTGAGGAGCCTGCTAAAACAACCACAACACTTACTAAAGTAATTCAAGGCCCTGGAGGAGACTTCTTTGACTTTTTACAGAGATCGGGTTCAGTTCTGAATAGAGTCGTACCAGACCCTGAGGCCAAAACATGTGGACAAACTAGCCCAAACTAAAACCCCACACTTGGGATTAAAACAAAAACATATTTACATAACATACCTGAGTTTACAAAGAAATCAAAACTTCCATTGCAAAACAAACAAACAAAAACAAAAAACAGAGAAGTCTCTTTTTTGTTTTTGTTTGTTTGTTTGAGACAGGGTTTCTCTGTGTAGCTTTGGCTGTCCTGGAACTCACTGTGTACACCAGGCTGGCCTCGAACTTATAGAGATCTGCCTGCCTCTGCCTCCCAAGTACTAGGATTAAAGGAGTGTGCCATCACTGCCTGGCAAGTCCAAGAATCTTATGCTTATTTAATCAGAATGGGAAAAAGAAAGGTAGAAGGGAATAATGAAGAGACAATTCTATAAGGAAAGAGATAAGAATATTCCAGAACTCAAGAACAACTTGGCCACTCATGTCAATGCTCAAGTATTTACAACACAGACATGTGTGTGTGTGTTTAAAGATTTTCTTTGTGTTTTAATAATGTGTTTGTGGCTGTGTGGGGTGCCCTCGGGGGCCAGAGGAGTGTGTTAGATCTCCTGGGGCTGGAGATCACAGGCGGTTGTGAGCTCCTGCATGTGGGTTCTGGGAATGGAATTCAGGTCCTCTGCAATGTTACACATGCTATGAATCACTAAGCCCTCTCTCAGGCCCAGGCTATGATATATTTAAAACACTCACACCCTCATGCTCTGAAAATAAGCTTCATTTGTATGTTGTTACCTGCCATTAAAAATGTCACTTTTGGTCCAGATATACAGTGCAGTGTATAGAGAGAGTTCACATGAGTTTGACTCCGAGCACTGGGCTCAACTCTTGCCTCAGGATGAGTGTGTGTGTGTGTGTGTGTGTGTGTGTGTGTGTGTGTGTGTTCATAGTTGACAAAGCATATCCGTAGCTATCACGGGTTTCAAGTGGGCCACTCCAAAATAGGAAATTAACCTCTTGGTGCTCCATGAGTATTTTGGCATGCAGATTTTAAGGGAAAATGTGATGGTGATATTTGATGCTTTCTAGGCTAAATAATTGCTGCTCTGTTTAAGGTGTCCAGCTCTAGGACAGCAGCAGCCCACGAGCAGTCCACAGCGGAACACGGATTGCTTCCTGAAGACAACCTCTCCCTTATTCCTAGCACTGACTCCTCTGGCATCACTCCAAGCACCAGGCAGAGAGATTTTCTATCCGGTTGGCTTTTTGCATGTTTTAATCGTCAGTAGAAAATGTCAGTGCTTCTAGCTCTGCTAATTATTAAAACGTTATGTACTCAATTAACAACAATGAAGCCTTCTTTTTCAGACCTCTCTCTCTCTCTCTCTCTCTCTCTGTGTGTGTGTGTGTGTGAGTTTCAAATTCAGAGCTGTTCACTATTTTCTCAACACTCAGTTGAAAATAACAAAGAAATACCTGCAAGACTGCAGTCATCCATTTCTCTGATACGCCTAAATCTACCTCTGTGCAAAGAATCTTGCCCAGAAAGACACACATTCAGACAGGTTTGCTCTTCAAAGAAATAGACAACAGGCTTATATTTATGAGCTGGGACCTACAACTGCTTCAGGGTGATATCTTACCCAGAGAAGCAGGATAGAAGCACGGCTTTAATTCTGTTTTTTGTTTGTTTGTTTGTTTGTTTGTTAAGATTTGTTTACTTTTATTTTATGTGTTTGGATGTTTCGCCAGCAGGTCTGGGCACTGTATGTGTGCAGTGCCAGAAGAGGGCATCGCGTCCTTTGGAGCTAGTGTCACAGCGGGTGGTGAGATATCCTGTGTGGTGTTCTCTGGCCTCCACACGGAGACACTCACATAAATATATACAAGTCCCCCAACCCTGTCACACACAAATAAATCATTTTTTTAAAAAAAATTTGGTTTTCCACAAATTTGGTTTTCACCCTTATACAAGCTAGGCTAATCTTCTGTTTCATTTCAATTTTAATATATGTGCTGTTGTATAGAACACCATCATCTGCTTCTCTGAGCTTTTCCTTTGGAGCTATACTTTATCAAGACGGGTGTCTGTCTACTGAGGGAATGTTAGTAACAGTTTAGCCACTGGGTACTATCAGGCTTCAGTCGCCCTGTCTAGCAATTTGCTCTATAATCAGAAGGCTGCTATGTCATCTTTATAGTGTGTAAGTGTGTGTGTGTGTGTGTGTGTGTGTGTGTGTGTGTGTATGGTAGATTTCCACTTTTATTGTTTAGCAGGATAAGTAATTATAGTTTTTGTAACTAACAACTTTTTTTTTTCAAAAAAATTATTTACCTTTATTTTTTGTGCACTGGTATTTTGCCCAAATGTATGTCAATGTGAGAGTGTCAGATCTTAGAGTTACAGACAGTTGTGAGCTGCCATGTGGGTTCTGGGATTTGAACCTGGGTCCTCTGGAAGAGCATTCAGTGCCCCTAACCACTGAGTCATTTCTCCAGCCCTTATAACTAACAACTCTTAAACCTCAGCCAGTAAGGGATTATTTTTTGCTCCATTCTATTGCATGATATTTCGTCACACTGTGAACCCTGAAATTAGGTACTGAAAAAACCTGTTTCTAGCACACATCTTTAGTCCAAGAGCTCTTTGTAAACATGATTAAATAAAGTTAATCTTAGGTCAAGAGGAGAACCAAGCAACCAGTTGACAGGAAGTGAGAGAAAAAGCCATAGAAAGTGAGAGGAAGTCTGGAGGAACGAATAGAGAGATGCACAGGAAGTAGAAAGGAAGAACATTCTGTTTGAAGGGTATTGAAGATGGCATAGAGAAGAAGAAGGGTTTTTTTCCTTCTGGGATGTCGGCTGAGTAGGAAGGTCAGGTGACTGCTTTCTCTGCCTTCTTGAGCTAGCAGGCTTTCACCCCATCATCTGGCTCCAGAGTCTTTATTGGCAAAAGTGAACATTTGAGATTTTATATAAAAATAACACCCACTCAGTCCAATGAGGGTAAGCACAGTGATGTGTTCAGTGAAATCATTCAGAGACCTAATGTCCTTCCACTGAGTGTTGTATCATCTCCTTGCTTCCCAGCTTTTTATTCTGGCTACATATGAAAAACAAACAGAAACTCTAAATAGGTTTATGCTGGGTGATCCCTACATTTTACTAGCTACAAAGAGTTATAAGGCCTGAGATGGGCCTAAGAGTGGTAGGGAACATGAGTGTCATATATAGAAGGAGGAAAATTAGATAGTCAATATTCATCATTGCTTTTCAGTCATTGATGATAACTCAAGGTGGCTTTGTTGGAAGAAAAACCTTGTTCTTTACCCTCTTAAGTTTGATGATTTAGGGCATGGACATTAGCCAGGCAGATTAGCAAGAGAACATACATGTTTAAATCATGTATCTGGAAAGGAGCTCGGAAAGAGCTTTGACTCAAGGTGATCCTTAGCATTTGGGTCTTAGTGCCCTTAAAGGGAGGGAGAGAACAAACGGTAAAACAAATGACTTCTTAGAGTTGGGGCATGAAATGGCACTTACAGGAGGTAAACAGTGCGTATGAAAAAGATGCTGGCTCTTTTTTTGTTTTCTTTTTAGACAAGGTTTCTCTTGTAGTCCTGGTTGTCCTGGACTTGCTTTGTAGACCAGGCTGGCCTCAGACTCACAGAGATCTGCCTGCCTCTGCCTCCCGAGTGCTGGATTAAAGGTGTGTGGATACTATGTATGGCTGTCATGATGTCTGTTTATGTGGTGCCAGTTTTCATGGTCTCTGATAACAGGAGCCAACCTTTTCTAGTTGCTCTCGAAAGGACTCATAACAATTGGATTATCTGGGGTTATTCTGAAAGGTTCTGCTCTTAGATAGACAAAATATTTCAGGAGCTCAAATACATAACTGCTAAGCCACAGCAACTTCTTTTGAAATTCTTTAGTCTGAATCACAGGAGGAGTTTAATCCATATAACAATGAACTCTAGAGATATTACCGGATTTACCTAACCAAGAAGGGTATAGATTCAAAAGTCACATGACTAAAGTCTAGTGAAAGCAAGGGGTTTAGGCTGAGTTTGGGTACTGCGGTTTATGCTGCTGTCTAGCATGGGCCTCCTTTCCTTCCCATTGATCTTCAAGGCCCTCCCTGCTCCCTGTGCTAGCTTTATAAGTAGTTGGTTCTCTCTAAGAACCGAAGTACAAAGATTACTCTCTGTATTCATTTTGTTTTTGTTTGTCTGTTCATCTGTTTTGAGGCAGGGTCTCTCTGTGTGTAGCCCTGGCTATCGTGAATCACTCTGTAGACCAGGCTGGCCTCACAGATATCCACCTGCCTCTGCCTCCCTAGTGCTGGGATTAAAGGCATGTTCCACCACTGCCTGGCCTGTATTCATATTTTAATACTACACTCCTCAAATGAAGGGGAAAATAAAAAACCAAAACACAGAAAAATCCTCTTCGCATTCAGACAAGAGTCCTGAGCTTCATGTTAATAGACCTCTGTATAAAGTCTGTATAAAGGGAACTCTAGTTGCCCAAACTCCAAAAAGCAATCCAGTGAGCTCAACTGGACCATAGAAGGATTTCCGGTGGCTAGATAAAAGCCAACATTCCTCAGGATTTGTGAAATGAGTCCTCATCTACCGAAAAGAGTCATTTCCTTGCCTCCGGCAGAAGGGACAAGGGCTACCTATGATGCCTGATCGCCTATCAAAGTTCATGCTGCCCTCCAGGCTCCTTCAGTATCACAAGTATCTGTTATACATTTCAAAATCCATACGAGCAGCCTAGCCCTTCTCTCCTTCTTTCTCCCCTACCTTAACCCCCAAAAACCCCCAGGTACTCATTCTCCAGATAATCCTGCTAGTCTCTCTACATCTCTTCCTCTGCTCCAGCTACTGTCACTATGCTTTCTCTATTCCCTGCCCTTCTTCCCCCTTTCTAAGACAGCCCTGGCCAGGTCCAGTCTGTTGGTCATTTCAGTCTACTTCTTTCTCTCTTTACTCTGGACTCTTCCAAATGCCTCTGGCAGCTCTCTCTCTCATGAAAGGGGGGAAGGAAGCAGGAGAGAACTAGGACCTGAGTGAGCCATGAGGAGAGATGGGGGAAGGGGGCCACCCCAACAGAGAAAGGGGAGAGAGACCGAAATAGCAAGGAGCAAGAAAGGTTCTCTCTCTTAAATCTACAATAAAAACCTTACCCTTAACCACTCCATGGAGCTATCATGTCCTGAGTTTATGTTAGTATTTATTTAAAAATGATGCCACTGTTGGGATCCATAAGTAGGCATCTCTTCGGCCAGCCCCAAGGGACATGACAAATGGGAAATCAGGCCACCTACAGACTACCTGAAACCACCTGCATATGCTCTGGGTCACCTTATAAGAGAACTTGTACCACCCTCCTCTTACCCTACCCAGAGACCGTCTCTGTGACTCCTTCCCCCTTCCCTTAATAAACCTCCCACATGGAACCAGTCACATGGCGTGATTTGTGAACCCACCGTGTAACTCTGCTGCACAATCCTAACATTGGTGCATTGGCCAAAATAGGCACTTTCAGCAGCCATGCTGCATGGTGGTTGCGTTCGGCGCCAGCACCCCACCAGAGCTGCTGGAAACCCTTATCATTCCAAATCTGCCCGCAACACACTTTCTGGCAACCAGATTGCTATCTCTTACATACAACACCGGCTGGATGGTGAATTCCCCTCCTTTCTCAAGTAGAAAAGAGACTAGGATCCTATACCTCTAATCCTCCTACTTTCACTAAAGAATTTCAATATCTCACTCAGTCTTATAGTCTCACCTTCCATGATATATATATATATATATATATATATATATATATATATATATATATA